GAAATATCAGAAGCTGGAAAAGACGAGGTTAAAGTAAGAGAACCTGAATCTGAAGGTGAAGAAACCAAAGATAAAGTTGAATCTCCAGTTGAAGTTGAGGAAGATGAACTCAAAGTTAAGACGGTTCAACTTGAAGTTGAAAATGAGCAAGAGACTAAAGAAGCTGAACCTGAATTTGAAGAGGCGGAACCCGAGGAGGAAATCAGTGATTACGAAGAAACCGGTCAAGCTTTAGAAGTTCAAATTTACGACCAATCTGAACCTTTCATAAAATCTGAAGAAAAAGTATGTTTGTTGTTCAACAACCTATTTCATCCCGTTGGCTAGCTCTCAATTCACAGGTTTTAAAGTAAAATAAAGTGGTACTTAAATGTTGCGTCTCATGGTTCAGAAAAAGAGGCGTTTACATTCAACTGGAAACAAATTAAGCATAATTTAAAGTGTTTTTGTAGAAGATTTCAGATTTACGTTGGCTGAAGAGATTTTCATTCTGAGGTCATTGACAAAGTAACGAAAGAAGAGTTGCTTTTTAGGAGGAGGAACAAGATTTGAAAAAAGGTGACTTCTCAAGCAGTGAATTTGCCGAAAGTATGAAACCAAAGGATGCCCAAGAAAGCGAAGAGAAGATTGATCTCAATGAAGCAGACGAGCTTTGTGTGGTGGCTCCAAAAGTAGAAGACGCTATGGTCAATGAAGTTCCAGAGACCACTGTAGGCAATCCGGAAACTGCTATTCGCAGAAATAATTTTACCACTCTCTGTTTATTACTGTTCACCTAACAGTTCATCTCTTATAGGAATCCATTAAAGTTGAGATAATACCGACGTTTGTGGAGCCAACAGAAGAAAAGCAACCAGAAGGACGTACAAATAGTTTCAGCGAGCCGAAACCTGCCACAGATTTCGCTCAGAAAGGTGTAATACAACCTTCAAGAGTTCAAAAAGCACAGATAGAAGAGCCGAAAGTAAAAATTGCAGAAAGGTAACTTTTATAGATCGGTTTTAGAGCATTTTGTCGAAATAATTTTTTTTTTAAATTAGCCCAAACATGTTTTTCTTGGTGGAAGAAAACTGTGCATATCCTTTTAGAGCCCCATCTACTCAAGAGGCACAGCCTCTTGGGGTAAGCCTACGGAGCGACAGTTCAGCTTGTCCAATACCATTTGTACCTATGGACAGAAATAAAGTTCAAGCAGCTACTCCACTTGGAAAACCTATAACTACAACGACTCCCACTGCAACAAAACCAACACCTCGAACTTCCTTCGCTTCTATTTTCTCCAAACCAAAAGAACTTGCAGTCCCCGTCACTGCTACTGCGAAACCTCCATCTGAAAAAACTTCAACAGTAACTGCAACTGCAAAGCCCGAAGCTGTAACCAAGGCAGCAGCAAGCACTTCAAAGAAACCCCCCATTTCGGCATCAGCAACTGTAAGTTTTTGGAAGATTTTACCACCGCTATTCGCAAACGTATCAAAAAAGTCACCAATTTAATCGGTTTCCAAAATGGACATTTCTGTTAGGTTCATCAGTTCAGTAGAGCTATCAAGAATCGATTTAATTAGGAGGCAGGAAGTTGCCTTTCTCCTTTCCATCAGTTGAGAGAGATATGGTTTTAAAAAACAAGACTAGAAAGTCTTTGATGTCGGGAAAAAACGGCAAGGAGTGGAAATTAGGATGGAGGGATGGAAATTTCAAGACGCCGACAAAAGCGAAGCACTCTTTTGAAACGTTTGAAAAGGTTTCAGCACTGTAGGGAAGGAAATCTAAAAGCCGAACAAATATTTTCCTCGATATTACTTTTAAGGTCGCCGACTAACATAACAATTTATGCTCAAGTGTCTAACAGTCATTTGTTGTTACCTCAACCAGAAAATTACCATAAGTAAAAAGTGACACTTTTTGAATTTAATCTTACTTTAAACCTGCATTTACTGTTTCCTCTTCTAGAAAAACCCATTTCCTCATAATTTTCTTTACTCAGTTTACTGCCCCCCACCTCCCCCGCCTCCCCGTAATGTCATTCATTAGTCTACTGTTTACATACGGTAATATAAATGAAACTTAGAAAAAACCGCAGTTTCGGTAATAGATGAGTTTTATAAGAAGCAAAAACCTTGCGTTTGACTACTGCGAAAAACCTATGGTACTAATAAGAATTAGATCTTAAAGAGAACTTCTGCCAAGTAAGCCTAAAACTTAAGCTCAGATATTGACTGAAAAATGATATACCTCAAACTATTAGGGACTTTCAGCAGAAAATTTAACGACACTTTTCTATTAAACTTCACACAGGAACTATTTGACCTGGTGTATGTTGCCTAAGTAAAAGCGTAACATCTAAAGCCTGAAGAATAGCTCAAAATTAGACATTCCTATGACTTTTTTCAAGAGTTTATTCAAATAAAAAATTTGGTTGATTAACTGTTAGTATAAGACTCTTTTCCTGTTCAAATAAACTAAAGCGCTGCTTTCTATATATCACCTACAACTTCTTCTTTAGTAATAAAAAAACATTTTATTCTAGGCAAAGTAGATTTACCCTTAGCTTTTTTACCAACTTTCTTCATCTCCAATACCTAATCAGAATGACTTATAATAGCCTTAAAATCAGCATACCTTTTGAGAACAATTTCTCCAGCTACTTTTACTATTACCAGGTTAAAACACTGTTTCTAAAGAAAAACTAAAATCAGCAATTCTTTTACTGTAAAAGCGTTTACCAAGCAAATTTGTAAGCCAATTTCCTTTCTCTTCATCACAACTTTTTAAAATGCTAAAATAATCGCAGTAATTTAGCAAAAAAGTGAACAGAGAAAAAAAATTCTTCTTTCCCAACAATCATAAAAGATAAAAAAATACAAGTTTTAGAAAAAAGAAAAGTAAGATGACGTAAACTCTGCAAATCAAACCTGCAGAATGCTAATATACAAATTTCTAGTCTTCCTCAATGAAGAAAACTTTAACAGATATATATACCATGAATTCACTTCCAAACTGCTATAATAATCAATGCTAACTCCGATTACAGCAAGTGGAAGATAAATCGGCAATCCGAAAATCAGAATTGAATATGGCAGAAGACGATGCAAAAGCAGCCAGAGAAAAAGAAGAAGTAGGAATTTTTCACAATGATTTATGCAAAAAGTACAAAAACTTTCTTCAGCATTTCTTTTTTCAAATAAATCTTTTGAATATTCTCAAGTCTGAAAATTCCTATTTATGCTATCAGAAGCAACAGTACGTTCTTCTAAGATTCATCCTTTTACATATCAGCACCAATTAAACTCAAATTGCCAAGTTCCTGACTTTGAACTGATATTTATTCGAGTTTTCGATTTAGGCAGCCGCTAAAGAAAAAGCAAGACGTTTGGGTACAGTAAGTGCACTTAAAGATCGATTCAAAGAACCGGAACCGTTACAGCCTGAAACATACAAGTATACTTTGACAAATCTACTACAACCAGTTATTCATTACATCTTAATTGCCGATCACTTTTTGCATCGCTATCAGTTGTACACCTTTGCAGGTATAAACGTTCAGCAAAACTTGAAGAACTACAACATGAAGTGCGACCAAAGAGGACTTACCGACCACTGGTAAAGCCAGTCATCAACGACAACTTTGATAAACAAGTAAATTTTTTACCTTTTTTTCTGGTCGTTGCAGATTCGATACCCTTTTCCAATGACTGTTTCAAAACATTAATTAGCTGGCAGTTTTTAGCAGCAATTTTGACTAAACAAGGAACAGACGACAAAGTACGAATAAAAGTACAACAGCTGCAAACCCTATCAATCTCCTGAATTTTTAGCCTCCAAACATATGGAATTCTCCGAAGCAATTTAATATTTTCCCCATTTTTAAATCCCATAAAGAAAAATGCATTTTTAAGGCTGAAAAAACTTGAAAATTTTAATTTTTGACCATCCCTTATGGAAGCGACAATATTTGAATTATTCGTCATTCTTGTCGCAGATATGTGAAAAAAACTGATTCAAAAGTAATCCTTCAAACTCTAAAACGTATGCACGCTAAAATTTTCCAAAAAAGAGAAGCAGCTACAGATGTTTAAGTTTTAAACTTCAAAGCGTAAAATAAAGACAAACTAGCGACCATTAGGTCTGTACATTGCAAATTCTTGCACGATTTAAGGCTGCGAAACTAGATGGGCAAAAACCGCTGAAGTACATCCACTAATTCTCGATTTATTTGACCAGCTTTAATTTCTGCTTTTCTCAAATCACACATCCAGCTCAGAATTAACCAAAATTACAAATAAAAGTGTACAGGAAGATAAAAGCAGCTCTGCGCACGTCTTTGACAATTAAAAAATGCCCCTGCCCATGAGAACAATTCGCTAATAATTTTTTCTCAAGACCTTTCATCTTAACACAACACCAAAGATTCTCAGTCTTATGAAGATCAAAAATTTGTTTTGCATGTTTACTTTAAAATAATCAAAAAGAACTATTTTGAGAACAATTACTTTAAGATGGAAGAAATCCGTGCACAAATTCAAAGTGGAACGACGGCATTGACAACACAAGTTCAAGACTTGAAAAAAGGCATTGCAGCGGTTGCCGACGATGCTAAACGAGCTGCATTTGAGGAGAAGCACAAAGACTTGTTAACTCGAACAGGAGAAGTCTTCAGGTTTTATTTTTGTGTACTAACCTTTTTGTATACTGCTCCAGAGATCCTCAAACTACAGCAATATAAGCAGAATTTTATTGAGAATACAATAAATTTCAGCCGAGCCGATGATAACCTCAAAAAGTGGAAGGAAAACAGAGCAGCTGAATATGAAAAAGAGTTTGAAAAGTCGAATAATGCGACCTACCGTGCTACACCGGCAAGAGTTGTTCCAGAACCCCCAAAACCAGTGAATTTTTAAGCCACAACCTCATCTTTTCATTGTAGCAACAAATGAAAATTAAGAAAATACTTCAGGTTCCGCCAAAACCAGAACCGAAGAAAACGGTAAGAGTCCTGAAACCAACACAGGCGACTAAAACAACAGATAAATCTGCAGAAGAGAGCGCAATCAAACCTGAACCACTGAGAGGCACAGTTGGAAATAGTGCAACAAAAACTGAATTGGCTCAAAAATCTCCAACCACTACAGTGCCACAAAAAACAGCTCCATCTAGAGGTAAAAAAATTATATTTTGCGGCAGTAGTTGGGTCGCTAACAACCCTGTGAATTGATCACAATAACTTCCCTTTTCTTCTTATTACAGGACTGGCAGCATTCGCTGCCAAGTTTGAAAACGCTATAGCGGCTGACAAAAAAACGGTAAAACCACAAACAATTAAAGAAGAGGCGAAACCTGCTCCTTCACCTGAAGCACCAAAATCTGCATTATACTCTAAGTTTGGAGAGCAGAAACCTACAACTTCAGCCGTAGCCGCACAACAAAAACCAACCAGTGTCCTGCAGCAACAGCAACCAGCTGCTACGACAAATGTACCGACTCCAAAAAGTCCGGTTGCCGCTCAACCTCAGAAACCGTCACCAGTCATTAGCGCTACAAGCGACAAAACGAAATCAGAGAATCGAAAAGAAGAGATCAAATCAACTGGAGGTGCGGCAACACGTATCAAGCGCGTAAGTTATATCGAACTTCTCATTAGCCGTTAGGTGCGCTACTAACCAAATTTAAACTGCTTTATAAAAACGAGATTGGATTATGATATTCCAGGTCCTTGGCAGTACCGAAAATCGTGAGCCCAGAAAATATGGTGTACGCAGAAAAACTGAAGAGTTGATGAATTACGCCAAAGATGAAGTTGTTGAGGTTTCTAGTCTGCGTCACAGTTTTGCTTTTCAAACGTCAATATTTACACTATAACACCAAAAAATTAAGACTTTCTTCTCAGAACAGTAATACTTTTTTTAAATCAAAGTTTATTACAGGAAAAATCTCGCCGCCAACATTGCTGTCACAGAAGAAACCGCTTTATTAGAGAACCATTTGATGTTGATATTTTATTAGGATTTGCCAATGAAAATACATTTGAACAGGTTATTTTGTGTCTTACTGATTTCAACAGATGATTATAGATTGTGTTTTTTACGATAAGCCTTTAGCCATTCCAGCTCTACTTTTTAATTAGTTTTTCACTTTTTTTCTACTTCCCAATTAGGCTCAGACTAGGTAACATTGAAATAACCGTATAATTGCTTATGCTCATTTCCTTTGTCCATATCCCTACCCCTTCTGCTTTAAAGTACACCCTTACTGTAGCGACTACAGGCAGGATCCCAAAATTGAGGACATGTTTGTAACAACCTTTCCTCCATACGTCCCTATAGGAAACCTTTCCCTCTTCCTTTTGTTTTCTTTCATGATATGGCTGGCCGTTTATTACCTTACTAGAATACGCAATTCTAGAGAACTTTATTTATTAAGACCTAGCGTGTGACTAGTTCCTACTTATCTATGTTACTCCTACCAAAATCTGTAGCAACATCGAAGGAATAGATCTCAGCCAGTCCCCGAGCCAATCCCATGTCTTGATGGAGAACTGTTTAATCTAAATCAAACTTAAAATATGTTTACCCTTTTGGCTTGTATCTTAAAGGACGATATTTTAATCTGTTTATTGACGTTAAAATACTACAACACAGGATAAAAGGCAAACGTAATAATTAATTAATTGACTATTTCAGCACAATAGATTGAGTAACAAAGAACGAAAAGGTTAAACTTAACACGAAGTTGCAGTAGAAGAATTTTAAGGATTTAAATCTACAGAAATTACTACGCTCAGCCGCAACTTGTGTCGGAACAATATTGACTATAATGTAAAATTTGAAGCTCAGCAGACTGATTTTGCTCTGCTTATTGGCCGGAGCTGGCATCTCCATCTGGCTAGCCTCCAAAAGTGCCTCTTTGGGGTCATACCGGGGTAAATGCAAAAAGGGGAGATCCTTTCGCATGTAGTTGCGGCACTCCAGGAAGGGACGGACTAACAGCACCTAGGACGGAAGCGAAATGGAATGGCCCGTGGTGCAACATCACACCGGGAAGCGTGAACTAGAATAAACTTTAATCACAAGAAAAAAATTATTTACAACTTTA